CCTTTTCCCCCCCCCCCCCCCCTGGTTTCTCGATGCAACCTTGTCCTTGAAGGTCGGCGGGGCGGCGGCGCTGCCGGCGCTCGAGATCTCCGTCGCGGACGCGGACGCGACGGGCGTCTTCGCCCAGATCCCCCAAGGGATCGTCAGGTACCGGGTCTCGCTCAACATGACCGGGCTCGACGCGGTGCAGTACTTGCTCGAGATCGCCAACACTCTCTCCGGTGAGACGACTTACCCGACTCGTGCATTATTTTTATTTTATTTTATTTTATATTGAAGCAATCGCACGGAAATATATATCCGAAAAATTCATCCAACGACAACGGCACTCATTTAAACCTTATCATATCAAAATGTGAAAATCCCTGCCCAGCCGAGTTCATCTGCGAGGCCAAGCTGACCCACCGAGGCTACAACATCCCCTACACGTCCCCGCTGAAGGAAGGGACGACCTTGCTCTTCTCGGCGGATAGACGGACGCTCACGGTCGACTGGGGGGTCGTCAGGAGCACGCATCAGGTCGGTCTCGGAATCGGTGGATCGCACTTGCACGACGTCTGCCTCCACAGGTGGATTTGGAACCAGGTGGATGTCCTTCTGGGTGTGAATCCACCTGGAGGGACATCCACCTGGTTAAAATCCACCTGGAGGGACATCCACTCGATTAAAATCCACCTGGAGGGGACATCCACCTGGGTCGAAATCCTCCTCCCATCCACCCAGTCCAGGTGGATAACAGGTGAAGGTTTTGTGCGTTCGTTGAAGGCGGCGGGAGTGGAGGCGAACGAGATGGTGGAATTGGAGGTGATCACGACGGTCGGGAGCGGGATGGCGGACGGGGAGGAGTTCTACCTCAACTTCACGTTTGGGGGCGTGGCGGTCGCGCCGACGGGGAGGGTCGTCGTCGATAAGGTGGGTGGCGGGGGGCGGGGGGAGGGGGGAGGGGGGGGGGGCGGTCCCGGGTTTGGAAGGGTGTTGCTGAGGGATGCTCGATGGGGTGGCGTGGGATATGTGTGAATGTCACGTTTTTCAGGAATCAACATTTATGTTATGAATATAAATGAAGCACCTAGAAATATATAATTGATGCTTGATGATTATGAGAAAGACGGGAATTTCCAGACCTTGGCGGGAACGGGAAAACCGACCTTCTCCATCGTGGGGGCATGGGATCCCGGGAACTGGTACAAGATGGCGGCGATCGCCTTCGACTACCGGATTTCGCTGCCGCCGAACGCGCCGATCGCGAACGCGAGCGTCGCGGTGCGGGCCGCGGGGGCCGCGGCGGCGGCGGGGCACGTGAGGCTGTGCCGGGTGGAGGTGGCGTTCGCGGGGGACGCGGCGCCGTGCGTCCAGGGCGCGAGGGGCGTCGTGAACGCGGCGGCGGTGTACTCCAAATCGTGAGATCCATTTTTGATATTCACAAAAAATATTATATTATTATATTAATAAATATATACCAACATAAATAAATCTATACATATAAAATTTCGAGACATACCTCGTATATATGTACAAAAAATTAAATATAAAATAACATACAGTGGAACCTCGCTTAACGAGCATAATTTGTTCCCG